CGTTATGTAAATGCTGCGTCACGCAAAAGCTTAGAAATTCACGCGCACTCTATTACAAAACCAAGAACCCTTTTGAACCGAAAATTTGTTTAAAAATTAGTTTTCAGCTGCTCTAATACACCATGAAAGTAAGATCTCAGTAGGATCGATAGCTTTGTAGTTTGCATTTTAGTGACGTCATGTGAAAACCAACAATAGAAAAATGTGTTATTTATTTTACTATCATTATCATCATCTTATGTTGTAAATTCAAATTTAACTGTAATACTTGCAAAAAAAAGACGGATGAAGATTAACATAGGCGTACGGGCCGGGGTGACGAGAGAGAGAGAGAGAGACGAGACGAGAGAGGCTGCAGCCGATTCTTTGAGCAGCAAGAGAAAATTTGGGCAAAGCCAGTTTTTACAGACGTTTTAATATATTTTTTTGTTAGTTTGAAGATATAAATATTTTCTATTTTAATCTGAAAAAAATACTGAAGACGGCGTAATAATCCAGTTACATTCTCTCGAGACAATGGCTGCCCAGCACGTGATGAGTTTCTGGTTACTAGGGAAGGATTCATATGTTGAGCACTGTACTGCACTGCACTAACTGGAATGGGCTCTTTTCATTCGTGAATTGATTAGAATAAACTTCCGCATTTCTTTCTAGAATCATCTCCGCTCGTAGAACAGTTTATGGCAGATAGCATGTGCAATGGGTCTGAAAATGAAGAAGTGGCTGACTAGTACTCAGCTCGAATTACGAGAAGAAAATTAAATGTTTTTAAAAATCTATCAAGCAATAATTTATCAAAGTAGACCGAAATGTTTACAAAACCGCTAACAAGAGCGCCTCGATACATACTAATGAAATCCTGCTCTCTAGCAATTGACCGGAGTGATCTTTCACACACACGTTTTTGAAAGGATTGAAACTCCTATGAGGTTAAATTGCATGTCAAAAGAGCTACATTTTCTACAGATATCGGTCAAACATCACGATTTTCCTTTTTTACCATATTTTTAACGATACAAATTTCATCCCAAATATCCCGATAACGCTCTTACAGATTCCGTTTTAACTTCGCGAACATCGAGGCGACTATTGGAGGAAAAAGCTCCCGTGAACGATTTTTGTAAGAACAGTTCCCAGTGCCGAGAAATATTGCTACACGTAAAATGGGCAATTGCGTCATTTCGTTGTTATGACAATCCTGATGTCATGGCAACCCTTATCATGACAAATTTTCATCTTTATCTAATAATTTTTTTCCAAATGTTTGTCTATGGCGACGTAGTTATGCTCAAAATTGCCTGAAAAACTTACAGTATCGAGCAACCTTCATTTGCCAGTACGGCCTATGTTGTTGCATCGTATGGCCCTCGTTTCCTTTCGACTGTTTCGTAAAAGTTTGGGCAACTTGCGAGAATTTTTTGGGCAAATGGTATACCTCCCCTCCCCCCGGGCAAAAAAATGCCCGTACGCCTATAAAGATCAAAGAAGCATGTCTTCGCTCGAGCTCATTTTCCAAAGGTTATTGATTTTGCTTTAATCCAGACCATTTTGAAAACAGTACCAAGCGTAGAATTTATCAAGGAGAAAGGGTCATCATTTTTTTAAAAAAATAGAACGTAGTCAAAGGCACCTGAAAAGTGGAGGAACTTTTATTGCCCTCGCAATAACGAGCAAGGGTGGCACAGTTGGTTAACGCGCGGCCTTCGGTGCGCGAAGTCTCAAGTTTAAACCCCGGTGACACCACATCCTTGGTTCAACTTCTTTCCCCTTCGTGTAGCTTCGGCGGACTAGATTTACATACCCTTAAAACGGAGCATTGATGGGAAGAGGGGGTCAAAATGAGCGCACCGTCGACCTCAAGTTTATCAGTTGAATTACTGTCACGAGTAATCGAGGTAAAATTTGGTTGCTTTACCTTTTTTGGCAACATTGTTTTACTTCTGGACTCTTCGCATCAAAGTAAAGCTAGCCATTCGTAATCGAAGTAAAGTTATTCATTCATAAGAATTTTCTATTTATTGTAGTTTACCCTCGAGTCTCCCTTCATCCGGGACCTCACCACGCTATTGAAGGAAGTAGTTATACTCTCCCATCCTGTCACGTGACTGGGTATCCTGCACCAGTGGTCACTTGGAGAAAGTCATCCGGTCCATTACCCCAGGGAAGAGTGAAGTACAACAACAGTGCATTACAAATACTACATATTCGTAAAAACGACTCTGACTTCTACTTCTGTTCAGCATCAAACCTGTTGGGAAGCGTTGAAAAGAAAACTTTCTTAGTTGTTGTTTCTCCTCCTCGATTCATTGTTAAACTACCTGCTAAAGTTTTCCCAGGAGTGGGCAGCACTTTGATCTTACACTGCAGGGCTACTGGTGATCCTCAACTTGTCATCAGTTGGAAGAAACAAGATGGCCAACTACCTACTGGACGAAGCCGCCAGCTGATAAATGGAACTTTAATAATAAGAGACATAACAATGAACGATAGAGGGATTTACAAATGTATTGCACCATATGCAAGAGTGTTAAAGACAGAAGCTGTGACTTACATCGAAATTCAAAAAGGTATATTTTCTGATATTGCTATTTCATTTCTATCCTTTCTAATAAACCTCACCATTACGTATATCAGTAACGCGTCAGAACTATCCTTGACTTCAGTGTTAGGACAGGGTAATAGAACAGTAAGTGCATTGTGTCACCTATTTTCAATTGGTAAATTCAGTCCGTGATTTTGTTTTAATCACTCCACCCAGTCCCATTACAACCATTAATAATCACATTTTTTGNGAGTCTCCCTTCATCCGGGACCTCACCACGCTATTGAAGGAAGTAGTTATACTCTCCCATCCTGTCACGTGACTGGGTATCCTGCACCAGTGGTCACTTGGAGAAAGTCATCCGGTCCATTACCCCAGGGAAGAGTGAAGTACAACAACAGTGCATTACAAATACTACATATTCGTAAAAACGACTCTGACTTCTACTTCTGTTCAGCATCAAACCTGTTGGGAAGCGTTGAAAAGAAAACTTTCTTAGTTGTTGTTTCTCCTCCTCGATTCATTGTTAAACTACCTGCTAAAGTTTTCCCAGGAGTGGGCAGCACTTTGATCTTACACTGCAGGGCTACTGGTGATCCTCAACTTGTCATCAGTTGGAAGAAACAAGATGGCCAACTACCTACTGGACGAAGCCGCCAGCTGATAAATGGAACTTTAATAATAAGAGACATAACAATGAACGATAGAGGGATTTACAAATGTATTGCACCATATGCAAGAGTGTTAAAGACAGAAGCTGTGACTTACATCGAAATTCAAAAAGGTATATTTTCTGATATTGCTATTTCATTTCTATCCTTTCTAATAAACCTCACCATTACGTATATCAGTAACGCGTCAGAACTATCCTTGACTTCAGTGTTAGGACAGGGTAATAGAACAGTAAGTGCATTGTGTCACCTATTTTCAATTGGTAAATTCAGTCCGTGATTTTGTTTTAATCACTCCACCCAGTCCCATTACAACCATTAATAATCACATTTTTTGGCTTCTCTCAGCGATTCCTGAATTCGCATCGACTAGAGAAGCGATCCATACTGGTTTCTTTCTTTATTTCTATCCTAAGCTGACTGCATTAAGCCGATTGTAACCAATATCTTAGTATAGATTTAGCCAAGGCTAAAAGCGAAGCGTCAATTTATATACTTTTAATAAGCCTCTGAACCTATACAAAGAAATCCAGAAATTTATACTTCACTGATTTTAAAACAAAAAGAAAAACTTAAAAATCAAATTCGATCATAGTTTGGTCATGGAAAAGTTTAGAATTCTGACCCATAACTCCGCGTGGCTGAGCCCCCACCCCCTCCACACCCCTTTGAGAAGCTAATAAACCATTTAGTTTAATGACTTATAAAGGCTGCTTGTCATTCAACAAACTCTTTGGCTGCGTCCAGTTCACAGTTAATGTTTATGTTTCTAGGTCAATCTTTCCGTCTATATGTGATTCTACCCATGTGGTAAATTAAGCCGATTTTTGAGTTTACAAAATGTTTTCCATGGAAAATTGGACCCGACTAACCGTTACGTGTAAACCTGTCCATTCAGATTATACATCACAATACCTGATACTCAGTGACCTTTTCTGTAAGTTATACTTTTTTGTTTTATTCTGGCGTAAAATCCAGGAAGTGTGATGACTTATTTAACATTTCCCTCTATGAATAATCATAATTTTGCAGTCTGCACAAACTGCCCATTACGTGTGCGCTAGACCTTATTTAATAAACTACAAATGATAAACATAACAACGCATTCCAAAAAGGCGAAGTCCTTTTGGCAAAGTTATGGGTCTGTCGTTACAATAATCGACAATTCTTTTATGTACTCTCTTTTCGGCGAGCATAAATAATGTGAGTTAATGTGTAAAACAAGTGCAAATCACTCCATACCTAAACCACTATCCGATCTTTCACTCACGCGTCATTCTTCATACTTCAGCATCTGACCAGATTTTAAACTATTTGGTACTGTTTAAAAAAAAGAACTGCACGTTATTGTTTCTATGTTGTACTTTGTTGCAGTTTCAAAATAGACTTTTGTCACTTAATAGGCTCAAAAAAAACTAGGTGAAGTACATATGTAATTGATTTCCAATGTAAACCCTTCATTTTATAAGAAGTATACCGCCATATCGTGTCTTTTGCCGTGTTTTTTAATAATTGCTGGCGTCAAAAAGAGCCCGCCACCTATTCTTGGTCAGCGACACTCTTTTCACTGTACATCCGGATTTTTTCTCGATCCGTTGAGATTCCTGTGTTGTACCGACAAATATGCATGGTATGACCTCGAAGGCCCTGGTGTTGAGTTCAAGATTCATCTGATGTCACCGTAGTCATGTGAATATACATGCAAGAGATGCAACAATCATTATTACATTTGATTAGCAAGCACAGGTAATTCAGGTACACAAGGTACTGCACTAAATGGGAGACTTTGCGATTCGCCTTGCCGGCCTGATTTATTTACCCAGGGAAATAAAAGTAGAGCCTGATCTCAGCTAAGTGTGGGACAAGTTTTCGGTGAGATACGAGTGCTCGTAAAGTCTGGAAATCGATGTAAATTATAAAGTTTATTCAGGTTTCACTACTTTAACAGTGCATTGTTTTTCGGGGTTTCTATATATATTTTATACGTTTTCAAGTATGTTACGTCGCCTGTCATCCGAAATCTTTAATAAGCTTTAAACTTCAGTGGTAATTTAAGATGTTTCATTATTTTGTATCGCATATCAACGGCCTTTGGTCATTGATCACGGATTGAATATTCGATTGAATAACAAGACTTCGTGCATAACTGCACGCATGACATACTGTTTCAATGTATCTTTGCCGGTGAATTAAATACAAACGTCTTTCCTCGCTGGCTAATCAACTGCAAATAAAATAGTTGAATTAACTAGTCTTGTCTAGTCTGAGTCTTGTTTACCGTGTTGTTCAATCTAGTTTTCCCCATGACACTCAGTGAAAGGCATTCACCTACGAATGAAAGCGGTTTCACCCACACTTGCTAGCCAACGGCTACTGCTAGTTATACTGTATTTTCTTTGTCTCGAACACGTGACTTTAGATTGTTGTTCAGTCAGTCACAAAATGCTGAGCTTCAGTTAGCATCGATGTTTTTTGGCGTAGACTTTATTTTCCTTGTTTTTTAGTTCGATGCGGTTGCTCAAAAAAGTTTCCAAGTATCAAGTATCGTCGAAGTATATATGTATTTGTTCGAGAAATATTGGTAAAAGGAGCGAAAGAATTAAACAGGATTAAATGCCGCAAGGACTGGAAATTTCATGGTTTCAGTGTACCGAGTGTGTGACCTCATCGATGTGCATCACCTTTGTTTTTAGGCGCTCTCAGCTCATCCAGCATTCTTGACAGCCTTGGCAGCAAGTATCGAGACAAGTTGAATTCATTTTTAGACCCAGTGCTCCAGACTACAGGCCGCAGCAGGTTTGTGAGGTGTTGGCACGCTAAGACAGATGGTTGGGCGGCATCAACATTTCACAGCAACTGTGATGGAAAGGGTCCCACTGTAACCATAGTCCAAGTCGGTAGTTACATATTTGGTGGATACACTGACAAGTCTTGGGGTGGTACGTATCAGTTCATAACAGCCTTAATGGCACTCAGATCATGTTCAGCGTTTTCGTGTGGACTGGCAAAAAAGATTCTACTACGCTACGCGTAGACGCATTTTTGTGTGAATAAACGTCCAGATACGTGTGGACTGGGCCTAAAACCAGCGATTTCGTTGCCTGAATACGCCGTTTATGTGTTAATGGAAGGCAAAATATAATATCCGGATACGTAAGGGTAAGGCCTCCTTGATAAGCATAAACTGACATGAATACTAATCAAGACATCACATAAAAAAGACTGAGGGCTCACGACAATCTACGTTTTAAATGGTACGTACTCGGTCGGCTTTTCCTATTTATGGTATAAGTTCTCCCTTAATTTGCTTTCTGAATAGTTTTTCAGTGAGCCAGCCACGTGTTTGGTTCTGTAAAAAAAAAAAACCTGTTATTTTTACAGCAAATACGACAACAGCGCAAAGCATAAAAAGGGGAGTTTGTCTAATGGTCGTGGGTCGTGGGTGTGGGCGTGGGTAAAAGTTGTGGGTGTGGGTAATGCCTGGTGGGTGACACGAAGAGTTTGCCTAATGGTCGTGGGTCGTGGGTCGTGGGTGTGGGTGTGGGTAAAAGTCGTGGGTGTGGGTAATTATTAAAAATTAATTTTTAATCATTATTAATAATTAGCAATGTAACTAACGATCCACGACCCACGACCATTAGACACTGAGTTTGCCTAATGGTCGTGGGTCGTGGGTCGTGGGTGTGGGTGTAGGTAAAAGTCGTGGGTGTGGGTAATGATTAAAAATTAATTTTTAATCATTATTGATAATTAGCAATGTTACTAATTTTTGTTAAATATTTATAATTTACAATATTACAAGTTTTGGATTTTTTTAACTACTGGATAACAAAACGAACATACGATGTATGAAAATTATACAACACTTCCCCTACTCTGTTACTCTACTCAGTCTGACTTAACGTGGAAAGGATGAGGTTCTTTATCTTTACCGTGAAATATGTGTTTTAGGCGCATTGTTCTGGCAAATTGACTGAAGTCATTGAGTAGCTGCCCCCTGATAATGTTTTCTCTTGTCACGGGAGTGGGAATGAATTTTAAACCACGGGATAGTAAGGTACTTTGCTCGTCTGGCAGCTGTGAATTTGACAGGTTTTTGATATGCTGGTTGCGTGACTTAAGATTGTTTAGAAAGCGCTTTTTCTCTTTGAGCTTTCTCCGATCGATTCTTTTGCGGCTTTTAACCGCTTTGTTATCAGTTCTGTTTCTTTTCCCTTCTTCCCTTATTTCTAAAGGGTAAGATAAGACAGCAGGATAAGATTAACTTTTTTATTGTTTGCCTGTGCTCTCATTTGTTCCAAAGTTTGACAGCTTTCCCCCAGCTATGTCAACTTTATATTTGAAGACAAAAATTAGTTCAACGTTATTTCTTTTTCTTTTCGATTGCTCCTGTACACACCGCCACCCCCTGCGCTGGTGGTCGACGATCTCTGGTAGAGTAACAGAGTAGGGGAAGTGTTGTATAATTTTCATACATCGTATGTTCGTTTTGTTATCGAGTAGTTAAAAAAATCCAAAACTTGTAATATTGTAAATTATAAATATTAAACAAAAATTAGTAACATTGCTAATTATTAATACTGATTAAAAAATAATTTTTAATCATTACCCACACCCACGACTTTTACCCACACCCACACCCACGACCCACGACTTGTACCCACGACCCACGACCCACGACCATTAGGCAAACCCCTTCGGATAACATTACAGATGAAGTAGCCTGCGAAAACATCCGTTTCTCCTCGCTCTTCGCCGATGGGGACGTTTCGCGCGGAGGAACGTCTGCGACTCAGCGACAGAAATTCCAATTAAAATTGTTCTGAGAAACGGAATTAAAGTATTGAAATGCTTTTACACTGAACAATTGGTAAAAAGTTAAAATGTTCATAACCAACTAGTTGAGTAAATAAAAAAAAGGGGAGCATGCATGAAACTTCATTTTTTCTACAAGAGTTTACTAGTTGCTTCATAACTGATTTTTGGTGAGGACTGGTGTATTGCCTGGCTTTGTTAATCGGTATAGCATATTTTATACGGTGAAATGTTCGAAGGTGTAAAACATCCAGCTTCGAACACATAGTATATATTTATAACTGTTATGGTCGCCCTTGCCACTTGAAGTGTTTGAATAATTTAAATTAATATCTGAAAAATGTTTTTCCACAGGTTCTTGTCGTTATGTCTATTCAAGTAAATCGTTCCTGTTCTCGTTATATAACATCAATGGCTACGCTCCTGTTAAGGTGAACATCAAGTCAAGTAGTTATAGTGGCGCTATTTACACATGTTCCAGTTACGGACCAACCTTTGGTGGGGGAAACGACCTGTACATACCCAACAACGCTGCAAGTAACCGCAATTCCTACACGTACTGTGGCTCCTCCTACCCCCTCCCCCCTGGGTACTCTGCATATTACACTTCCTGTCAATTTTATGCAGGATCCTACAATTTCACTCCCACTGATGTTGAAGTGCTTTACGAGACAACAATTTAAACCCTGTAAAGGTGGATCACGTCTGCCAATCCAAGTAGTATAAATACATATATGGACGCGGTTTCGTAGACTCCCAAGGGAAAGTGTTTTAAATGGAGGTTTTTGTTTCAATCAAGTAATAACAAATTCTTATAAAATCAATTCGGAGATCGATCAGGAGCCAGCGAAGATTCACAAGAAGAACAGGTTGATACAATATGACAGGACTTCGGCAAAAGGAGTAACAACACAATTGCCATGCAGCTACGTTCTGCACACGTTGGAGCTTGTATCATGCGCTTTTAGATAAACCATTTTAGCAACGAATTACAGTATTCAAGCTTTAGACTGTTTAGATCATGGTTGCAATTTTAGTCCACTGGTTTAAGTTTAAGCAGTCTAGATCAAAGTAGTGGTTTGTTTAGAGAAATTGTTTGACTCTTGACTAACTAAGGTACCTTAGTTTTCCTTACTCAGTGTAAACATAACTGGCTGTTATTTGCTTCATGCACAGTAGATTCCCGGAACGTTAGTTTTTCAGTATCCAGTTTTTTTTTAAATACATAACATGAAGTGTTTTTAGATGCTACAATAATTTCTACCTTTATCCGAAGTCGTAATCTACGTTTCCATTAGAAATTGACTTGGGAATGGTGCATATGCAGAGATCTAAAAATAAAAATAAAAATGAAACGAATCAAATAAGTAAGGATGCGCAATCGAGATCTTGACCAGGATGCCTCTACCTAAGAATTTCTAAAATTCCAACTGCTTTGTAATTGCATGTTTTCACCCATCAGTTGTTTATCATCGATTTTCTCTGGAATTCGCACTTTTGCACACACCCCACAAACTTTTGAAGAGAGGCGTTATCTGCATTGTGGAATCATGATAAAGGTTTAGTACCAGTGAGTGCGGGAGTGGCAAGCTCATTTTAAATCAAATTGAACTTCCAAAAAGAGTTTTGAGCGGGTTATTGACATCACGATGAGACGATGTAAATTAAATTACTTATTAATTTAATTCGCTCGGATTTGGTTTCTCGTATGCGCTTTTTAATAGGACCTGCTGAGGTACGCAGTTACAACGCCGATGCCATAACTTTTAAAATATACTTTCTTTATTACTAGTAATAATACTTGATTAGCTTTCACGGCGCGCGTATTACGCCTGTGTGCAGACGTTTAAAGGAGATAAATGAAAGGGGGAACTAAGAAGGCCAAGCGCGGGCGAGCCAATCCAGTTTCCGTTTAAGCGTTTGTCACACTGGTTGGGCACGAATTGGACAAAAATAATGAATAAAAAATAAAGAAGCATATAAAGATAAAAGCTGTAATAATATGATCCAAGTGTATGATCAAATTAAAGTTCAATTTTAATTATGAATAAGACGATGAAAATCATAATTGTTCACTGTATCTAACTCCTAAAAGTCGAAAAAAAATATGTTTGGAAAAAAAGGATGAAAAAAAAACTTTAAACTCTGAATTCGAAGAAATCATTAAACGGAAACCTTAGTCAAAATGAGTGTGGCTTGGTAATAATCAGGACCAGCGCGGTTTAGAAGACCGTCGAACTCCTCCGTCTCTTTTTTCTGCTTCAACAATCTCTCTAGTCTCCCTCGCAGCCGTTTTTTGGATGTCACGCAACGCTCCCCCAAAAGAGGACATCCAAAAACGGCTGCAAGGGAGACTACAGAGGATCTACAATAGGTTTGGCGGGATGCGGGATTTGGTTATTTTTGTCGTTATACTCGAAATGTAAGCTAAAAAAAGGAGCGAGAAGCGGGAATTTTGATAACGAACGGGAGCGGGATTTCCTGTTTTTATTGGGTCGGGATGCGGGAATCGTAAGGGAGAGGTGGCAGGATACGGGAATTAAGTTTTGTCGTGACTACATTTTGACTATTTTGTGTACACCGCCTTTGTGCTAGCCGCCAAGGAAATGAAGCCAGCCAAATATATCCCTGATCACCGTTGCGTGTTTTGGTCTCCGGTACTTGGTAAAGACGGCGTGCGCGAACGGTCAAAGAAGAGGTCTGGCCGGAGTGAGGCCAAGAAACTAATTAGACTAGTTAGAGAGGCGAAAAATGCGCGGTTAATTTTATACAGTCTTCGGCCGTACTTGGCACCTTTTAAAACCGATTGTACAAAAAAAGGACTGTTTTGCAAACTGTTGCAGGTCACACACACCTATTTTTGTGCGGATCTAAGAATGGAAGAAAATAAAGAAATTTTAAACAAGAATCGAGGACCAAGTTCGAGAAGGGTGGAATAGTAAACTTTCTGCAGGGGGGTTGTTTGCATTTGGTTGTGCTGTTCGATTTCATACCAGGTTTATGTTTCCATATAAAAGAGAACATTCTATCAATCTGTGCAACCATTGTGTTCATACACATTTTCCATGACCCGTAGTCAGCGTAGACAATTGTCTTCATCGCCTAATGGAATCTAGCAGTAAAGAAGTTGAAACATCCACCTACCCAACTCAACTGGCTGTTTCCAAATGGCCAGAACTCAGATCGAAGTAAACCTTCTTTTTTGTACTGATGCACTCAGAAAAAAATACATAAATAAATAAGCAAAACAGAAAAAAAAAAGTTACGGTCGCTAATGGCTGAAGTCAAGAACCTTAAACATCAAAGCTCCCTGTTGCGAGAAGGTTAGTCTTAAATATTGTATAAAATGAAATCACGAAACTTGTAGAAAAATAGAGCGGGATCGGGATTCGGACGTCAAAAAAGGCGGGATAGCGAGATTAAGAGGAAAAAGCAAGCGGGAAGGCGGAATTTGAGAACCCTATTGTGGACCCTNTTTTAAACAAGAATCGAGGACCAAGTTCGAGAAGGGTGGAATAGTAAACTTTCTGCAGGGGGGTTGTTTGCATTTGGTTGTGCTGTTCGATTTCATACCAGGTTTATGTTTCCATATAAAAGAGAACATTCTATCAATCTGTGCAACCATTGTGTTCATACACATTTTCCATGACCCGTAGTCAGCGTAGACAATTGTCTTCATCGCCTAATGGAATCTAGCAGTAAAGAAGTTGAAACATCCACCTACCCAACTCAACTGGCTGTTTCCAAATGGCCAGAACTCAGATCGAAGTAAACCTTCTTTTTTGTACTGATGCACTCAGAAAAAAATACATAAATAAATAAGCAAAACAGAAAAAAAAAAGTTACGGTCGCTAATGGCTGAAGTCAAGAACCTTAAACATCAAAGCTCCCTGTTGCGAGAAGGTTAGTCTTAAATATTGTATAAAATGAAATCACGAAACTTGTAGAAAAATAGAGCGGGATCGGGATTCGGACGTCAAAAAAGGCGGGATAGCGAGATTAAGAGGAAAAAGCAAGCGGGAAGGCGGAATTTGAGAACCCTATTGTGGACCCTAACTACAATCTCTCCCGTTTGATTTGTAACCCCCGATTTTTGGCTTAAATCTGCATGTAGAGAGGAAGAGGACTTAAGGGCTATTTTTGCTTCACCTTTTGCGCCGGAGTCAATCAGCGCTCAGCTCACAAACTTCCTTTACAGCTGATGGTTAACTTATGTAGAGTGTTGTGTAAAGTATAAGGAAGGGATTTAAATTGACATACATCAAAACATCACATACACTGCGAGCTCACGATAATCTACGTTTTAGATTGTACTCGATCGTCTCTTCCTATTTATGGTATAAGTTTTTGTATAGCTTTTCAGTGAATCAGCCACGTGTCTGGTTCTGAAAAAAAAAACCTGTTACAGCAAATCCAACAACAGCGCAAAGCATAAAAAAGAAACGTGTCTCGTATGTAAGGCGATAAAAGCCCCTGATGTGAAACTGCCTGACTTAACTGAGTGAACTTTGACTCTTCGGATAACATTACAGACGAAGTACGAAGTTGGCAAGATAGACACAAATTATGATCTTGGTATTGACAGACTCATCAGCTGTAAGAACATTCAACAACCCTTTTCGTGTGTAAACTAATTGCCAGTCCACGATGGCGTCTCAGAAGCAGAGTCTGCTTTCCTTTGTCTCAATTCTTTCTGTTTTGTCGATTGTGTTTTACTGCTCCGGTTTCTTGAGAGTAGAATTACAGCTGAACGAACAAAAGATGAGAATAAACGCTCTTGAAAACATCGAGGAGACTAAGCCGTCAGACGTTCCTAACCACGACAAGCTAACGAGGAATGCTGCCGGTAAGTTTTTATGAGGTTTATAAACACAGAGAGCTTCTCCCCAGAAATAATTTGTCGGTTTTCCTAAAACTGCCCTCTGAATCCACTTAATTAAATCTTTTTTTGCGAGTTTCAGTCTCTAGCAAAATCATACGAGGGTAAACACATGTAAACAGGAGGTCACATATTGTCTTTGTAGGGAAGTAGTTTTAATAATATCGGCGAGAAAGACGATCAAATAATAAACATTTTTTGTTCGAAAGTGTAGAATCTGATGCCTATTGCGTTCATGTGACAAAAATTTACGAAAAGTAAATGATCTTCAGGGGATTTCGAGTTGCGTAGCTTTTTTATACCTCTTTAAAGTAAGCTCAAGATAAATCACAGACTAAGTTTTTCTTCTCGTAAAATCAATAAGTTATCGAGGACTAAAAAACTAAAAATATAGGTATACAGGTCATTTTCTTGCAGAGGAAGTAAAACCTAAATTGAAGTGTAAACGATCACGTAATGATCTTTAAAATTTCTTCAAATTTAGAATTTTTGAAGTATACCTTTAGAAATATAATTCAAGCACACAGTAGATTAAAGTACAACCGAGGAGTCAGCTTCAGTTCCTGCTCTAATTGAATCCGCATTATTTCTTTATTTCTCTGGAAGAAAAATTTGGTCTTCACTGTCTTTAGGCCATACCCTTCCCCCCCCCCCCCCCCCCCCCC